TAAATAATTTAAATAATCATAAGATTATCAAGCAAAAATCAACAGAAAAACAGATTAAGTGCATTTTATGTACTTTTTAAAATTAATCTATGAAATGAGACTGCCATGACTCATAAAGTAGAAGTGATTGTATTAAAAATAATGGTCAAGAACTTACATAAATCCTTGTGAAGTATGCATTTTCACACTAATTTTTCTGCTTCCTCTTATTTTATCATTACTTTACTTTTAGGTTAATGGACTGTTTCTACATTATTACACCAGCATGAAGAAACAGCATTACCACTGATTTGAAGCTTGGTGAGTTTATCCACAACACAAGTCAGTCCTACATCATGGTAATTTAGAGTGTTTTAAACTAGGAACTCTCTTTTGCACCAAAACAGAATTGAAGTTCTAAGGAACTTTTTAGTTTAATGTTAATGTTTATTATTTTAATTTTTGTTTGTGCTCTAATTTGAAAAGTACATTTTAACTGAAGATACGCTTGGCTGGATTAATCCAATAAAACAAATTTAAGTTCACTGATGGGGAGCATTAATTAAAACCTTATTACACTCCTTTTTAAAGTTAGAATTCACCATTTTTTTTAATACAAACTACATTTATTTAAAGTTTCTCAGTTGTAAATTTGACAGTGTTTGACACTGCAATTTCATATTTTTGTGAATACTGAAGATGAAAATGTATTATTTAGTGACAAATATTGACAAAATATGGTAGGATGTAGGACAGAAAATACTTATTTTTATTTTCAAATTAGAAGTAGTTAGGAAATACTTATTTTAGTAATTCTTTGTCCTCAGACTGCGAATTATATGTTCTTCATTTGGTCAAATGAAATTCCAAAATCTGTGCTTGTTCTCATTTTAGAGGTTTGCAGATTTTAACTTTACATCTGCTTCCTATCTTCCAAGACTATTTTGAAATACTATATTATTTTTCCTTTCTTCTTTAATTTTTTTTTTTTGCACGTTTAAGTCTTGTGTGTTCTTTTTTACAAGTGTTTTGATTGGAAGACAGAATAAGCTCAATTGGTCAGTCTGACCTTTTTTTATAATTAAATATTTGTGACTTGCTTCTCTGCTTCAATCTGGAAAATGTTATGATATATGAAAAGTGTTGTTCTTCATTCCAGCAAAATTGTGGTGCATGGTGTTCATGAACCCAACAGCAATCAGTATGAAGGCACATGGGCATGTGGGTGCACATTCAGTTCTAGAAACTTCAATGGACAAGAGAGAGCTGAAGGTCCTAGGCAGACATGGGGACAGACCTACAGTGCTAGGACAACATCCATCAAGTCCCAGCTTTTTGAGGACTGGAAAGCCATAAGTCATCATAGAACACAAACAATTCCTTCTATGCTCTATGTATTCTATGTGCATAATTATTTCACTGTTTTCTGAAATTTAATCATTGGTAATTTTATGAAATTCTATTCTATAATCTAATAAACTGAGTGTGACTTACAAGTATTTATCAAATAACATTTGAAACGACATAGAGAATAGAAAAGTTAGAATTTCAAATAACATGTATATACACTTTGTGTGTGTGTGTGTGTGTGTGTGTGTGTGTGTGTGTGTGTAGCTATATTTCAGGCCCTTCAGATGCTGCTAACTAATGAATACTTTGCACCATAGAATCTTGTTCTGTATCAATCATTTAACTGAGCACAACAATACTAGACAGAGCTTTGTTGGCCTAGAAAATCAGGGCCACGCATGGGACAAACAGCATCTGAAGTGTTGCAACTTGGCAAGGGTGTCCACATGGATCTCAGCCTCTTGTTTCCCTTTAAACCATGCATCTTAACAGCAGAGTCAACCTCCACAATCATCCTCCAGAGCATGATTTAGGTCAATCATCCACCTTTTCACTCTAGCACTCAAACTTCTAGCCGTGCAAATCCTCTTTTGTGGCTTCTGCCCTTTGTTACAGCATACATTCCTGGAGGATTCTAAATATCTGTTGGTGAGGTGATTCAGCTAACTCAATCTTTAATCTAATCACTAAAAACAGTCGCCGGAAATGAGGCAGCAATTTGAAAAAAAAATCAAAAGAAACAGGATTTACAAAGAGTATATTCACATGTAGAAGAATGAGCAACATTAATAAGGAAAAGTGGTCATCTGAGTTGAAATTTAAAAAGAAGGAAAGAATATACTCTGATAGGATGTGTGCTTCCTTCCTACAAAGTAGCCTTGTCAAAGTACAAGAAGCTGAAGGTCAGATAATCTGGAACAGAAACTCTTTGCATGCATCTATTTTTCTAATCTTCATTGTTCCGTTTCAGAGAAACAGAAATAGGAAACAGATCATCTGACAGGTAAATTAACATGCCCAAGGTCACGGAGCTAATAAAAGCCTCAACTAAAGTGTGTGTTATTCTAGTTTCAGAACCCTGAGCTAACTGAATACACTCTGAGTGCTCTCGGGAGCTCTGGGAAACCCCTGAACACTAGTACACTCACAAAGTGCCTTGAGTGGGCATCCTCAGGGAGTGTTGCATACTGACCAATGTGGTTTTGTCTGAATCCATTGTAGCTATTAAGCTATGTAATCTATAAAAGATTTGGAGTTACAGAGATGATAACAATTTGAAGATGTGTACACACGGCTCTAGTAGATGAGATGAAATGACAACGAAACAAAATTAATTGCTCAAGAAGTAATATTGAGACCTTGTGTGAGACAAGGATGAGTAGTTACATTGACAGTGAGGATCATCAAGAATAAGCAAAAGCCACTGAGTACGGAAACTATTCTTCTCTAATAGAATTCAGGGCCCATTATACTCAAGATAATTATAAATAAACCAGCCAATACCACAGATCTCTTAGTCTCAATTATTTCATTATTAATAATCTTTAGTCAGGTTTATGTTTCAAAAAAACACTTGTATTTTCACCACTTTGAGACTTTAAAACTTTAGTAAATTATTATTATCAACAATTTAAAATGCAACGTTTCGTTCCTGCATTTAAGGTCATCTAGAATCTAGCTGCATACACACATAGCCCCTTAATAAACCTTCCTTTCTACTTTTGTTACTATATTTACACTCATAAGAGGTAATCCTTAGTTAACCAATTAACTTCCCCCCTCCCATTTGTTCCCCCATGTACATCTATTTAGCTGCACGATGCTTATTATAGTACTTATCCGCTTCTCTCATACCTTCTACCGCTAACCATGGGCGTCTTTTACCAAATTCACTGTCACACACCACAAACATGTAAGCTAGAACTGTTGAGTAGCAGAGGCTGGCTGCTGCCTATTGCATCCATCTTCTCAGCAGCTTTCACACAATATGGCACTCCATTTTATTACTCTCTCCATCTTGTTGCTCCCTGCCCGCTCCATTGTGATCACTAACGTCACTCTTGCTAAGTGACAGTATCTTTAAATCCTTTACTCTCTTAGTGTCTTCAGGCTTTAACACCAAAAGGATTATTTATTCGATTTTTTGTTTGCTTGTTTGTTTGTTACTTTTTTACACTTCCAAATCTTTATTGTTTAAAATTGTTCAAGTCTTTTACAAAATGGTATTTTAAAAAAATTATCTCTAAATGTTAGTGTACAGTGGGTATCTTTGTCTGAAACGCAACCAGGAATTATGAATTCATCAATAATACGCATGTTCTTTATAGTGCCTATGATACATACAGTACTCTTCTGAGTTTTGTCTAGTGGGATCCTTTTCACGGTCTTACAGAGATGTGTATGTATTTGTTCCTTATCTTGGGCTGTCTTTTCAGTTCACACTCTTTCCCAAGACATCTCATTATGTTTTTACTTTTCTTAAGTCTTTATGAAAACACCTAACTTTACTTTCAAGCCAAACCTCCCAGGTAAACTTGTTTCCATCCTTTCTCTCTAAAGATGCATCAAAAAATGGTTCTTGGACCAATATTAACTCTCTAGCTTTTTCTCCCAAGATCTCTCACTTTTTCATCCCAGACAACCCAATTCTTTTCTTCAACTAACCATGACTTGCTAACCTTTGAGTAAGCAATCCCTCCTTCATTTAATACTTCTCAGCACAGCCCATAGACTCCCACTCAGATGGTACATTACTGGGGTGGCTTCGTTGACCTTTCTCAAGTCTGACTCACTTCTCCTGCTGCAGGTATACACAGCCCTCTAACAAAATCGTACAGCATGTTTTCTTCATGGTTTGACAGTAAGGACAGGGAGAGAAGAACATGGTCTCTGGAGATCAGCCACTGGCACTGAGCTTGGCCAAGGACATGCATTCAGAAGACACATTGAATGAGTCCATAAAGTCACAAAAGACTCATTTTATATAACTACCTGTGTACAGTTACCAAACTATTTCCAGATTTTATATGAAAAATGGATTCAATTATCCCTAGAATATATTTAGTTGTTTTCTCAAAGTCCAAAGTTAAAAACCATGTGTTGCTATATATATATATATATATATATATATATATATATATATATATATATATACACACTCAGCTTAGACCTATGTCAGAATTTCAAAGTTACAATGTCCAAAATGCCCACGTTTATGTAAAAACTCCTAACAATTCATTCTTAAGGAGTTTTTACTTGGCTGCTTATGCTATTTTATTTGCCTATACAAAGAGGCAATTTTCCCTTCATATATTTAGGGAGCCTTCTAAAAATAAAAATTGTCTCAAAACAAAAAGACTTAGAAGTTGATGAATTCATTGTCACTGGGTTCTAATTTTAAGTACATCTTTCAGAGCTCTGTATTTTAAAAACCCTATTATTAATGAATTGATGGGTAAGAGGAATTCCAAAGTCACTGAGAAATCTACTCACCAATATTCATATGAAATATGTATGAGATGAGTCATTTTATTCCTTCTTCCTCCATGATCCATAGTGACTTCTATTAACTTTTGAGATTTATAATTTATATAATCTTTAAAAATTAACTCATTGGGTAGTTATTTTACATGACTAAATTATATATCTACATGCTTTTGTTTTTAGAAAAAATGAGCAGGCATATCTGTTGGATTTGTAAGCTATGCAGAGCTGAATCTAAGAGGCTCCCTTCAAAGTAAGTAGCTTTTAAATATCATGACCATTTTAAAGAATGTTTAGTCACATGATAAATAGGTACATATATATTTAACTGTATCCTAAATATATTTTGCTGAGAAAATAAATTTACATTTATGCACAAGAAACTCCAGCTAAAGAGCAATCATGTATCACACTAAAACTCATTTTCATTATTTGTGGTATACACCTAAGAACTCATTAGCTTTGATGTTTTAGAGACCATTACAAACATTCTTTTTAAAGGCAGCTTAGTGGTATTTACATTAAAGGAATTTTATTTTATTTTATATAACAAAGTTAAAGGAACTTTTTAATCCAACCTATTTCACAAGTAATACCTTCTTAAGGAGTGCCAGACACCTCCCTTTCTTTGTGTGGTTTACAAGAAATCAGGGAAATTTGTTGTTTGTTTACTTTCTTTCTTTTTACAGGGTCTGGTTATACAGGCTAGGCCACCCCTAAACTTGTGATCTTACTGCCTCAGCTTCCTAAGAACTGGGATAAGTTACATTATAAATATTCATCTTTTTCCCCCTGAGATCCGCAGATAGATTAAAATGGGAAGTATAATCGGAAGGGTAACAAAACAATTGGATTTATCACAAAGAATTCACAGATTGAAGATCCTGTTAGATTGACCACCCATGCCTAATCTAGCTCAAGTGGAACCCTCAATTTTGAACACATCCTTGTAGGTCAGAGCTCTTGACCAGCATGACCTCCCACTGAAGTAAGGAAGGTTTCAAAAGGTCACAAGCTATCACTCAGGGAAGAAAGGTAGCTGTAGTGGTGGGTGCTAAAGCTCAATGCTCAGCATTCTGGTGACCAGCTGAAGTTTGTGAACCATGCAAGTACACCCATGAAGAAAGATAAAATAGTCTTACTGGGACCAGCTTTCTTCTACTGATGACCCCTATGGCCTATCACAATCAGAACTTGGATCCTACATTGAAAGGAAGAGCTCAGAAAAAGAGAATTCATATTATAGAATGTTGCTTAGGGTCATTAGACAAGAACTTTGCATTCATAATAACAAAGATAATAACAAAACATAGCTGTGCAGATGTATTAAGTCCAATATTGGGATTGGATCCTCCAACCCTCAGACTCAAAGCATCAATGACATGAATTTCAAAATGTTCCCATGTCTGATTGCTTTTTGCCACCTACTGTCCAGAAAAAAAGGAAGTGACTCAAAACCGAAGAAAACTCAGGCTGATCTGGGGGCAAAGATGTTTAAAAATAACCTTTACATAATTTTGAGGACACCATCTTTATAGTCACAGGCCAACATGAATCCTATGAAGGGGGAAATAAGCAAAAGCAAAAATTTCAAACAACCCAATTTCTCTAACCATGGTCTGTATCTGTAAGTCACATAAATCTTGCAAGCAAAGGCATTCTCTTGGCAACAATTTCCCAATACAGTAATGTTGTCTCCCTTCACTGAAGATTTTAGTCTTTTCCTACAACGAGAATCAGTGAGATAGAAAAGTATCTGCCTCACACTTCCCTCTTCGGTAGATTAGAAATATTATTTTAGCTTATTCTTTCTGAAATTCCACCAAGAGAAAAGGACAGTGGGTCAGAAACAGTTTTCATAGAAACATTTTTGAGGGCATTGAACACAGTGCACCCCGAAGCTGATGTGAACATCTACATGGGGATGCTAGGATCATCAGAGCTGGTACAGAACTAATATTGTTCTATGTTAGGTATTATCTAACTTTTTACATCATTCTTATGCTCATAACAAGTTAATGGTCATTCCTGAAGAGTTAACATTCAGGCTGACTCTACAAGTACAACAACAAGCAAGTCTTGCTCGCATCTTCAGTTTTCTTAGGTTACACTTGTGTTAAAGGCATTAGCTGAGTGGTGATGAATATATCAGTGGCTTTTATACAGGGAAATAAAGTTACTTGTGTGTGAGAAAGTAGGGTCACTTATCAGTTACCTCGTAAAGTTCACCACCAAAAACAGAAATGTAACCTTCAAGTCAGCACCTTACACAGACATCTTCCAAGGGTAGCTTTGTTTATTATGTTTAAGTTGAAGGTAACTTGACATAGTCTACCTTCATTAATGTTAAAGCCTTCAAGGTTCAAGATATAAATATACACATCTCAAATAAGAAAGTGCAAATGTAATAGACAATACATTGCATGATAATGCGAACATAACTTCTGAAGATAAACCCAGCATTAATTAGGTAAGGGATGCATGTGTGACAGTGGCAGAAAAGCATAAGGCAATCCTATAGAGGCAAAGAACGAGTCTGTGCCTGAAACTTATAGTGTGTGCATTTGATCTGTTTTCAGTTTGTTTCTACTAATCTACAAAATTACCACAGCTGCATGGGCATGCAAGCTTGGCTGTGTGTAGTTTTAATGGTGAAAAAATAAGAAACACTCAAAAGTTTTTAAACTATATAAGCTCCAGAAGGCCCCTTGTAGACTATTATACTACATAGATGATCTACAGATGACTAATTCATATGTTAAGAAGTAAGACCATGGTAATCACATATAAAATGTGTCTAAGAAGAGCATACACATGGAAAGTATGTATGGAAAATACAATCTCTTAGTTAAAAACACAAACATACACATAAAAAAATCTAAATCTGTCACTCTTCTAAAAGAGATTTGGAAATGAGATTATAACAACTATCATTCCTATCTTCAATATTTATTTTATATTCTCAAATATATACCTATTATATTTTATAGAGTTTCAAAACTCAGTGAAAACAAGAACATGAAGGACCAAAGGAAAATAAGCAGTGTAATTATATTTTGCTATTATTCTCAAGATAGCATATAATTATTTGGTTCAGAAAATAAACAAACAAAACAAAACAAAACCACTGACAGTAATTTAGCCTAATCAATGCTTTTATTTATTTTCAAAGCCTTACTTTGGAGGAAGTTTTAGGATGGGCCCAATCTTTGGAAAGTCTGATGGCTACAAAATGTGAGTATGATATATATGTCTTATTTGAATAAGTGGCCTGTTTCATTCTTATGAGGAAAGCAGGGGGAGTGCCAGATGACAAGGCTCTGCTTGCCACCTCCTAAATGGCAACTGACACAGTTAAAAAAGGAAAACCTGAAAATAGTCTGTCATGCCAACCACTGTTATTTTCTTTGGTGTTAATTAAAACAAGATTAGTCACTGTGGGTATTTATTCTTCACAAGTATATGTATAAAGCCTGTTGGGAATACGCTGAAATAGTAACACATACTGAAGCATACTGACTTCCCATAGCTTGCTAAAGTTAGTGCTTGGAAACTACTAAAAAGATGCTGTTCTAAGTGCTTTCAGAAATAAGAGCCAGTTTGAGCCCCCATGTTCTAAATTCCTTGGGGTTCTTCAATCTCTGATTCCAGTGGCCCCACATGTAAATGAAACAAGTGTGAACATTCAAGTGATACAAATGAAAGGTCGTATCAACGTAGATAGAAAAATATATGAGTTTAGAAGCTCAAAACAGTTATTGTGAAGGGCAATAGACACTTGGAGGAACTGTCTATTGTGTTTGGAAAAGAAAATGGTAGGTGATAAAAAATTATTAAAACAGAAGACAGAAAAACAACATAGAGGGTACTCAAGGAAAATTCCACTGAACTTAGTTCCTTTCTAAGTGTTATCACCATCAAATGTTTGTTAATTGTTGTCTGTGGACTTGTCTCTTTATTAAGGACTTCCCCGTGTGACACTCTCTGTAAAGAATGATATGTTCAGATGTCCTGACTGTGATCAGGAGTTAACTGAGCAACCAAGATATTTTAATTAGTGGGTGTGGATGGTTGTCATTCATGGGGATCTCTCTGTTCCTAGGACTGTACCTGCTCTCCATGTCTCAAGAAAGTTCTTTAGTACCACATCTGTTATTTCTGACTCACAGGGCAATAGTAGAAGGTGTGAACCCTTGACTCTTGGCTTTTTCTAGCAGAATTCTTTAGCCCCTCTAGCTCTGACTCTGAGGCTCCTTTCAAAGTATTGTACATCTCCAGACCTGGGTAGCATCTAAGCATCCATTTTTAGTCATAAGTCGTTCCACTGAAAATTTACACATCATAGCTTCTCTCTTTCATTTATTTCCAAGAAGGTTCAAACTATGCCTTTTACTTATCAAGTATTATTCACAGTTCTCTGATGTAACTTGCCAGCATAACCATGAATTAAATACTATAACTTTGAACTAAATTTTAAGGCACTTAAACAGAAGGGGAAGAGAAAATTACCTGTCAAGTCAGCTGTATGAATTCTTCTCCAGTTTTAATATCAGCCCTAACCCATGTTCACATTACCAGGTTAATCTTATTTTCAGAGTTACAGACATCACTTCCATAAAGTGAGAATAATATCATCTCTCTATTCAACACTATTTTGCTGGTTGAACCCAAGTTGTAGTTCAGTGTACTATACAGCCTGAGCACAAAATAGTATTAATGAAGTACACATCTCTGAGTCCAATCATTTCCATCTCCTTCCTAGCAAAAAACTAAACTCTTTGTATTCAGGATCCATGATCCCCTAACCCAACCTGTTTTCTAAAATTTATATCTGTCAAAGTCCTTTCTGAAACAGACCAGTGTGGTGGCTGCTCCATCCCTTACTTGTATATCAGTGACCACGCCCCTGCTACAGGATTTTGCTCAGTGTCCTTTTTTTTCTCACCCAATCCTGCACATGCTTAAAATTAAAACCCAAGTTCCACCTTTCCTATGAAATGATTTAGAAATAAATTTCCTGTTCTATTTAGTTAGAACATTATTTATTCTGCTTTTAATTGTAACTAGTTTGGGTAATGAGATTATTGTAAATGTTCTTGCTCAATAAATTGTGAAATTCTTAAAAGAATAGATATTGCTTATTCATTTTACATACTACATAGAGACTCAAAGTATCATTTGTACCTAGTAGGCATGTACCACAGTTCAATGAAAGATAAATATTAGTATGAAAGATCAATATGCCAAGATATATTATGTAAATTTATGGACCAGTGCTAAAGACTTGATGAAATGAATAGAGTAATTATTTGACTTGAATATAAAGTGCTTGACTCAGCAATTTGGAGATACAGTCATGAGGATAAGCAAAGTCTACAGAAAAGGTAAGGAGGGCAAGAAAGCTTCACACTGCTCCTAAAAACAGGCCAGTGGGAACATGAGATCAAATTAGCATGAGGTGTATTTTAAAATTCTACACTCAGATAAAGTGATAAAAATATGAATCATTCTACAGATAGGACCAGTCAACTAGAAAACTAGGAAAGAAAACACTGTATGTTCTTAAATGACTGTGTTTACACTAACAGATGACACTAGTAAAATGTATCTGGTAAACTATACACAAAATGCTATTGTTACAGAGATTAAAACACAGCTTCTAAGAATATATACATCATAAGCACTCATGGGAATAAAATGAATTAATCTGAGCTTAAAGAGATACTAAGAAAATAGCACAAGAAATATTTGTTGGAAAACCACTAAGTAATAGCTATATTCAACACATTGCCATTAAATCCAAGTGTTTTATAAAAAGTGGGAATTACGAAGGGCCAAGTTTGTGCAGCCATTTCTAGGAATGACTGTTTCCCGGCACACTTCTTGGTATTCTGGCTCTTACCATCTGCTTCCTAAGCCATAGGTGCAGGAGCTGTGATGTGAATGTGTCTATTGAGGCTGCGCTGACCGAAACATGTTAATTATCTGTGTTGTGTATAGTTGGGTTTTCTTCCATCTGTTGTAAAGAGGTGTTTCTTTGATGAGGGGTGTTAGTGACGCTTATCTGCGTGTACAAGGATAATATTTTAAATGTTATCCTTAGAATAGGAAGAAATTATGCTGGTCTAGAAAAGTGCTGGCAGTAGGTACTTTTTTAAAGGTCTGTGGCCTTCTTATCTCAGTAGCAGCATTGTTGGTCATTGCCAAGGTATGTGTTGCACTCTGGCCCCTTAGAATCATCATGATGTATGATCATTGTTCTGGTTCATAGGCATCATAGGTGGGTAGGACTGTCGGTAATTTCCCCCCTTTGGAAGCTTACATAGTACCTTCTTCTACCATGAAAGCCAGTCTTCGGAGAGGTCCTGTGTCCATAGTACATGGTGTCTTCAGCAATACAGACCTACCTTATACCTCTGGGACCAAACTAATTTTTGAAAGATAACAATGGAAGTTGTTTACTGATATATTTTGTTTTATACAAATAAAAAGATCACTTGGATGATTCAAACAATCCTACCATATATGTGGGGGGCAACATGAATGTGGAAATGAGGTGAAATGGGTATATCTGCACCCAACTCATATACCCCACTTAAACAGAGGAGACAAAGAACAAACAAATGAACAGATAATTCCATAAAATATGTGCTTTGAAAAAATAAAATCAAGTGATATGGAAAGAAGATGCAAGACTAACAATAATTCAGCTGAAAATTGTTGACAGAGAAAAAAACTGTCAGAAGTAGTAGAATGGCCAGAAACTCTGATAGAGAATAAAACTGACAGAAAGAATAAGATTTGAGCAAAGATATGAGTCATAAGAAGAAGACATGTGTGCTGAGGTCTTCGGATATGAAGCCAAGTAGCAGGAAAACATATCTGAAAGGTCCAATGATGTGAGACTGGTGTCTGCAAATAACTAAAAGAAAGTTTACTATGTCTGCTGCATAAGGGCCCATGAGACCGTGTGATTGACTTTACCCTGAACACTAATCAAGAATCAATATATTTTTAAAAGCTCTCCCCAGCTCTTCTCTGAAGAAAGACAAACTAGTTAGAAGGATATTTCAATAAACCAGCTAAAACCAGAACTCAGGAGAGCAGACAAACTTGGAAATGATTAGCATCTAGATGCTAGTAAAAGCTCTGGGTCCAAGAGATTACTGGAAGAAAGCCAGAGGCCGCTGCTGCGTGGGCTCAGGCTGCTCTCAGAAGAACAGGTGACCACCTCTTCCGAGCATACTTCTCAGCTTCCTGCACAGCCTTCATCCTGCGCACTTCTCAGCATCGCCCCTCAGAGTCACCACCGTTCCTGCTGCCATCCGGAGCAGGGTCGCACACTCTGCCAGCTTGCCGCCGCCATGCCCAAGAATAAGGGAAAAGGAGTTTAAAAAAAAAAAAAAAAAAAAAAAAAAAAAGACGTAGCGTTAAGAATGAGAATGGATCTGAAAAGTGAGAGTTGGTGTTCAAAGAGGATGGGCAAGAATATGCTCAGGTAACCAAAATGTTGGGAAACACATGACTAGAAGCAAAGTGTTTCTATTGTGTAAAGAGACTGTGCCACATCAGAGGGAAATTGAGGGAAAAGGTTTGGATAAATACCTCAGACATCATTTTGGTGGGGCTCCAAGATTACCAGGCTAACAAAGCAGATGTCACTTTAAAATACAATGCAGAATCTAGGTATAGACATAAATATCTGTATTTTACCCCCCTCCAGGCAACAAAAACAAAAGCTGACAAATCAGATTATACCAAACTGAAAGACTTCCATACAACTAAGGGAACAGTCAAGAAATTAAGAAAGCCTCCTAAAGGATGAAGAAAAGCACTTTCAAACTATTCATTTAAAGAGGAATGATTTCTAGCATATGTAAGAAAACAATTCAACAGTAAAAATAATAATGACAACAACAATCCAATTTAAAATGGACAAATGACTTGTATGAACATTTCCCAAAAGAGAATGCACAAATGGTTAGTAACTGTAAGAAAAAAGCTCACTGTCACTAAGGATCAAGAAATGCAAATCAAACAACAATGGGCTATTATCATAGACCTCTCAGCATAACTGTTGTCAAAGGACAATAAATAAAAAGTTCTGGCAAGGATGTGAAGAGGCGGAACTGCTTGTACACTGTTGATGATAATACAGATTAATTCTAGCATGCCTGGAGTTTCAAAACAAAAATTACCACATGATCCAGCTGTCTTGCTACTGTCTACATAGC